AGAAGGGCAATGTACTAAATATGAGTGTTCAACATGGTGGCATTGCTGAAGAGGAAGACATAGAAGGGTACATGGGAGGTACAGACACCAAAGATGAACCCTTTTGCACATACAGTACTGGGTTGTGAGTGAAACAAACATGGGTATACTGGTGGATTGGTGGACAGGCTGAATTATTAGGTATGTCTATGTAGCGGGGAGTGTACTCAAGACCATGTATAGGGTTGGCGGACAATGGTCCTATAATGTATTTGTGTGACCTGTAAGAATTCCCAGGTGTATGTAGAGAAGACAAGGGACAAGGCCAAAGATTCATGGAAACAATTAGTCCTTGTGACTGGTACACCATGCGATCCTCAGCCTATATGACTATGAGACCAGAAGAACTAGATGGTGCCCAACTGCCACTGTCAACCAGTCAGAGGGGGATCTATGTAGGAGATAGTGGATAGAGAAGGAGAACAATGTGAAACAAAACCCAAAATCATTTGGGGGGAAAAACAAAAGGGAGACCGGATTTTCTGGCCTGATAGAGCTTGGTGGAACCACTGAGACTATGGGCCCTTAGATGCCCTTCGGGTCTGGAATTGAACCCACACCTGTGGCTTCCACCCAAACAAAAGACAGGCATATGAGTTGAATATTTACCTGAGGTAGATACACTCCTTGGAGAGAACAATCATGGGAGAAAGAAGGGCTATTTATGCACCGGGAGACAGCTCAGGGGGCAGGAGTGCATGGAGGGATGGATACAGAGAAGAGGTAACTATCGGGAGGAAGTGGGAGGGGAACTGTTGCATTGGGGTAAATTGTGGTTGATGTCATGAGACAAAGTGTATGTGAACTGCTGTATGGAAAGTGAATTTGCTCTGTAAATTTTCACTGAAATCACAATAAAAATAAATAAATAGATAAATACATACATACATATATACATAACTAAAGAGACACACAGAAAAACAGAAAGAGAGAGAGTCCTAGATATATGTATGATATGCCAAATTGTAACTTTTTTTCCCACCAGGAATTTCATATTAACTTTCTGAGACATAAAATCCTTAAGCCTTTTCCTCTTGCCTTAAACTTGGGTGATTAGCTCTCCACTTGTAAGAAACAGTTTCTTCCTCTTCTTATGTTTCGAATGTCGAGGGGAACATGACCAGGGGGAATAGTTAGAAAAATAAGTTTTATTGAAACATCTTTCCTGTGTATGGGCTGAGGCTTAGAGTAGCATCAGCCTCTATCCTGTCTCCGCAGCATTCTTAAGTAGTGTTTTAATGAGGGAGGTCGATTGCCTATTTCAAAAGAACCAATTCTAAGTGATGAACAGGAACTAAAGACAAGGGCCGGTGGGGACAAGATAAGCCCAGGGAGGGAGACAAAGGATCCAAGTGGAAACTGAGAGTGGGGGTGGGGGGATGCTTCATGGCGGGGGGTGGGGGGCGGTGAACAAAGAACTCCACCAGAAACTGGGGTTTTGGGAGCACGGGAAAGTGAACAAAGAGCTTCACTGGAAATTGGGGATTTGGGGTTGAGGGCACCTGAAGGTAGAAGAGTACTGAGAGAGAGAGAGACAGGATACTTATTAGACACTGGCAGGCTGGGTAGAGGTTGAAGGATTTATCTATCACCTCCCTGTCAAGCTTTCCGTGTAGAATGGTTTTTTATTTTTTTATTTTTTATTTACAGGGTTCCAGAAAATAGAGAGGGTAACACCTGCATCTAACACTTTTAGACAGTTCATCTGGTAATAGCAGATACCAAACAATCTTAACAATCTCAAGTCCATCTTCTTGAAACTATGGATCAACACAGTGGATAAGAGAGCTGTTTATTTTTCTAGGTTGCCTGGGTGGAAATCCAACAAAATAGCCATTCACCTTCGAGGGATTGACTCTGGACACCCAGCTGTACTCCTTCAGGCTCTCTGATGCTTTCTACGAGTGACAGGGCTGTGTGAAATGTGTCCTGCACAGGAATCCAGCCTTTCATATTCAGCAATGATCATTAATCAGAGCAACAATTAATTTTTCTCTTTTCCTTCAAACACAGACACATTTTGCTCTACTTTGCTCATAGGCAAGCCCATCATCTCTTTTGCTCTTTCCACACTGCTGCACCCACCATGCAATTTGCATACTGCTCCCCTGGGAGGATCTTCCCTTGTAAGTCTGAGCTAAAAGGTCATCTCCAGTCTTGCTTTTCCTCATCAGGGTTCATCAGTTCAACTTCTCAAAATGAGGTTCCCTGCTGAGCTCTTGGGGCTGTTAATGCTCTGGATCCCTGGTGAGGACAGAGGGGAGATGAGAAGGAGATGGGGTGGGGAGGGTGAGCTCTGGTGGCACCATCGGCTCCCATGTAGTCATGTTAGATGGACACATTTTGATCTTCAGGAAGGTGCAGTCAATTGTTTTATTTGTAAATGTGAGTAAGAATTGTAAATGTGATTAAGAATTGTGGTGAAAACTGTGACATTGAATTGGTTGGTACAGGCAAACTGGATATTTTGGGATATGAAGGATCAAAATTGCCAAAACAAATAGAAGCAAAAATGAAGCAGTATTTTAGCAAAATATAATAACAACAGAAGGTAATTATAAAAATGGCTCATAATGTTTGCACATAACCTTGAGCTTCTCTCTCATTATTTTAGCATCAAGTGGGCATATTGTGTTGACCCAGACTCCACACAACCTCCCTGTCACTCTTGGAGAGACGGCCACTATCTCCTGCAAGTCGAGTCAGAGTCTAGTATATAGTGATGGAAAAACGTATCTGTCCTGGTACCAGCAGAAGCCAGGAAAAGCTCCACACTTACTGATCTACCACGTCTCCAACCGATTCACTGGGGTCCCAGACAGGTTCAGTGGCAGTGGATCAGTTACAGATTTCACTCTTAAAATCAGCAGGGTGGAGGCTGAGGATGTTGCAGTTTATTATTGCCAACAATCTACACAATATCCTCTCACAGTGGTGCAGCCCTGCACAAAAACCTGTGCTTGGTGTGGTCCAGCTGCCCAAAAGCATGGCTTGACTTAGAGCAGACACAGCACATTCTCTGATTCTGCTGAACAGAAAGATATTAGAGAATATTAGGGAATGAGTTGTGACTTTGGTAGGATTAAGGGGTAGGTCTATATGGGCAGTTGCCCACACTGTATGCTTATTGGGCCTCCAAGTCTGATATGTGTCAAAAAAGTTACCTGATTCAATGCTACATTTGGATGAGTTTTTGATAATGGATAACAGGTAAGAAAACAGAGCTATAAACACATATACATGACAAATTCCAACTGCTTTTTATAAGCTTTGTTGGTTGCCAATCACTAAACTTAACCATTGGAGATGCTGCAGTGTACACAGGTCTTGCTCTCTTTCTTCGGCTTATCCCCCCTGCCCCCCCAAAGTTAACTTGTGCAAGAGAATCCACTCAATGCTATAGGTGTAGAATGAGGGAAAGGGAGCAATTCAGTAAGTGCAGGTTCCATGAGCTACTTATACATGTAACTCATTTATGCCCTTAGGACCTATTCAAGGCCCAGCATGTATATACCACTTCTATATGATGATGGGAGTATAGTGGTTAAGACATTTGGCTGCTAACCAGAGGGTCGGTGGTTCAAATCCACCAGCTACTCCATGAGAGTACTCCATCTCCCCTCTGTCCTCACCAGGAATCCAGAGCAATAACAGCCCCAAGAGCTCAGCAGGGAACCTCATTTTGAGAAGTTGAACTGATGAACCCTGATGAGGAAAAGCAAGACTGAAGATGACCTTTTAGCTCAGACTTGCAAGGGAAGATCCTCCCAGGGGAGCAGTATGCAAATTGCATGGTGGGTGCAGCAGTGGGGAGAGAGCAAAAGACATGATGGGCTTGCCTATGAGCAAAGTAGAATAAAATGTGTCTGTGTTTGAAGGAAAAGAGAAAAATTAATTGTTGCTCTACTTCCGTAAAGATTTACAGTCTTGGAAACCCAATGGGAGTCGTAATGACTTGAAATTTACTCTATGGCAGTGAGTAGGTTTTTTTTTTTTTTTTTTTTTTAATGTGATGATGGAATGCTGATGTCCATGCATAAATGTATGAGTTGGTACATTAGATACCACTGAATTTCACATCACATGGCCACCTTGATGTCTTTGGATGGGGTTTAATTGGTTTCTACCAGGCTTGATGGCAAGCCAATGCCCTTATCTCAAGAACAGAACTGTTACCTGCAGAAGAGATCAAGGTTTTGTTCAAATACTCTAGAGAGCTGCACTTTGATTCTTTCTAAAGGTTTGCAAGAGCCTGGAAACATCATCTTCATCTTCCACAGACACATTAACCATCATTGGTACTGAGTAATAAGATATGCTGCAGGTTGTACCCATTGCAGAATTGTCTTCTGTTCTTGCACTAATTCACAACTAGCAACTTTACAAGAGGAGCTCTGGTAGTGTAGTGCCTAAGGCACTTGACTGCTAACCAGAAGGCTCGTGGTTCAAACCCACCAGCCACTCGTTGGAAGGAAGGTTAGGCAATCAACTTCCGTAGTAATATTGCCTTGGAAACCTAAGGAAGGGTCACTATGAGTCAGGTCTGACTCCACGTCACATAACAAGAACAACAGCAACTTTACAAGCTACTTAATAAATGAATCAGAATAATGCACTCCAAAATATATATGTTGCCTTCAGAATCCAAAGATGACTACCACTGTTGAGCCTATTTTTTAGTTATTAGGAATGCATCTTCATTTTGGAAGTAATCTTTCAACATTCCCCAGACCACTGAGATACTAGGCACTTGTCTGCCAGTTCAACCAAGACCATGAAGGTGACTGCAGGTAAGTCTTTATCATTTGTCTTCTGTTTCTATATTCAGCCACTGAACACTTGTATTTCTGCTCACTTGGCATTTTCAATTATGTAATCCTAATATTGATTTCTTAAATTTTGGGAAAATTTTAGCTATTACTTAAAAAGATTTTTTTCCCCTACAACACCCCTCTGCCATCATCTCTTCAGGAGTCTTCTTACATGCAATTAGGTTGCTTGCATTTGTTTCAGAACTCATTGGTGTCTGTTGATTTTACTTTCTTGAAAAATGAAGTTTTTCTAGACTGAGGGAGAGGAAGGGGCCACTATCCTTTATCTTATTGTTTTTAGGTGCTATCTAGTCAGTTTCAACTCACAGCCACCCTGTGTACAACAGAATGAAACCTGGTCATGTGTCATTCTCACAAACATTGCTATGCTTGAGCCCATTGTTTCAACTGGCTGTGTCAATCCATCTCACTGAAGGTCTTTTTCTTTTTTCTGACCCCCTACTTTTCCAAGTATGGTGTCCTTCTCTAGAGACTATTCCTTCCTGATGACATGTCTAAACGAGTGAAATGAAATCTCAACATCCTTGCTTCTACGGGACTTTCTGGCTGTGTGTCTTCCAAAATAGATTCTGGCAATCCATGATATATTCAATATTCTTCACCAACGTCATAACTCAAATGCATCAATACATCTCTGGTCTTCCTTATTCATTGTCCAGTTTTCACATGCATATGAGGAGATTGAAAATACCATGGCTTGGGTCAGGTGCACCTTTGTTTTCAAAGTGAAATTTTTTCTCTTTAACACTTTACAGAAGTCTTTTGCAGTAGATTTGCTCAATGCGATATGTCCTTTGATTTCATGACTGCTGGTTTCATGGGTGTTGATTGTTGATTCAAGTGAAATAAAATCCTTGGCAATTTCAATCTTTTCTCCATTTATGGTGATGTTGCTTATAGGTCCAGTTTGAAGATATTTGTATTTTCTCTAATTTGAGGTGTAATCTATAGTGAAGACTATAGTCTTTGATCTTCATCTACTTTAAGTCCTCTTCACTTTCAGCAAGGAAGGTTGTGTCATCTGCATATCATTGGCTGTTAATGAGTTGTCCTCCAATTCTGGTGCTACTTTCTTCTTCATATAGTCCAGCCTCTTGGATTATTTGCTCAACATACAGACTGAAATAAGGTGGTGAAAAGTTACAACCCTGACACACACTTTTCCTGATTTTAAATCATGCAGTATCCCCTTGTTCTGTTCAAATGACTACCTCTTGGTCTATTTACAAGTTCCACAGAAGCACAATTAACAGTTCTAGAATTCCCATTCGTCACAATGTCATCCATAATTTCTCAGGATCCATGTAGTTGAATGCCTTTGCATAGTCAATAAAACACAGGGTAACATCTTTCTGGTATTCTCTGCTTTTAGTGAAGATCTGTCAATAATGATATCTCTCATTTCATATCCTTATTGAATCTGGCTTGAATTTCTGGTAGTTCATTGTCAATGTACTGCTTCATCCATTTTTGAATTATCTTCAGCAAAAGTTTACTTATGCTTGATATTAAAGATACTGTTTGATTATTTCTGCATTCTGTAGGATCATCTTTCGTTGGGGTGTGATTTATATTTGTTCCTTCTTGAATGTCTCACTTAGCTTTTCCTTCTTTAATCCTTAATTCAGTGTTGTGGTTACAGACAGGGAAGTGAAGATCTGTCTTCTCTCATCCAAAACATCTATTTTCCTCTTTCACTGCTCTCTATTTGGTAATCTGTATGGTTTTGGGAATTCTGATTCAACTCAATTTCAGGGATGAAATGCAGATGTCAATTTGGTCTTTGAAATAGGACTTCCCCTTACCAACAGTGATCTGCAGTATTCTCTAAAAGAACAGTTATTCCCTAGAGCTTGACAACCAGGAGACATTCAGAATTCCTGCTGGAATGTGAGGAATGAGCACCATATATGAAAAAGGGATTTATAATTCCAGAATCTATTGGCATCCGTGCTAAAGCTTCCCTTAGGATGGAACTATCACAATGGAAAGCAGAGTGGAGAGGAGGGAAGAAAGTGGAATTTTATGACACAAATGAGCCACTGGATCAAGACTTAGATTCTAAGTCTGACACTCTGCACTTTCCATTTGCTTAAGTACCCAAATCCCCTTTACTGTATTAATTGCAATTTCTGCTAATTATAACTAATAGTTTGCAAAATGATCTCGTAGTCACAAACAACTTATTTTGGTAAAGGAATTGCAAACATAATCTTTTAAAATTTTAACCTACAATGCTAAGTCTTAGGAAATATACAAAAATCATTGCTTAAAATGGATCTATTATTTACATGGATTAAAATTATAGCAATAGTTCCTCCAGGTCCTGGTGTGTGTCCATAGCAAGCCTCGCCAAAACTCTATAGCACTCTCTCAAAGCTCCACAGTCTCCCTTCACCACCTCACAATTACGTGGCCCATGAATTCCCAAGGGCTGCCTTAAAAAAAATCAGGCTACAGCTTCCTCAGATTAGCTTTCCTTTTGTTTTTCCAGTTTGGGATGTTGCCAAGCCTTGTCTCAAAATGGCTGCAATGACTGACTGTTCTTGATGTTAGCATGTAGATTCCCCCACCTTTTGTGCCATCCTTGTTCCTTCTCTCCTCAACTTCTGGACTCACCCTGACTATCCAAAACTTCAACTGCCATTCAGTGTTCTGAGATCTCAGTCAATGTTTGGTTTTGTTTGGTTTTAAGTGGGTTAGTTGTTGGGGGAGTAGTTCTCCTTTTGCCAGAACCAGGGGCCAACATCCCAAAATGGAAACACTACTGCCTCTTCAAACCAGCTGTCAAATGAAGGCAGAAGAGGTGATCAGCACATGTCACAAAAAACTCTCTCATCTTCCCACAGTCTGACAAGGCATCACCTGAAGCTGCCACATCTTTCTCTCATGGAGCAACTGGTGGGTGCAATCCTCATCATTTTTTACTAATGTTCTGTCATTTTCTTGATTTTTCTTTCATTTAAAAAATATTTTTCTGTAGGAGGACTGCTGCATGGAACTTCTTACTCTGGCATCTTTGTTCTGCTATCACTATATTTTCATCTTTTCTTTTTTCAGCTACCTGTTTCTCTGCCTCCATTTCTTAGGGAGGCTAATTAAATCCTTTGCTGTCAAATTGATTCTGACTCATAGTAACGCAATAGGAAAGAGTAGAACTGCCTTACA